GAGGATATTCAAGTTTTATCTTTATTTTCATCTAGTGGTATAAAAATAAATATTTCATGAGTGGCGGTAGCCATCTGAATATACATAAATCCTGTATTTACAGAAAAACATGAATTTTCTGTTTGTAATATACATTTTTCTCTTGTTTGACATGACAGTTAAATTGGGCAGAATTTTAGAAAAGTAGTCCGGCAAGATACCAGTGAAAATACGGAAAATATCTTTTCACTGGAGTGAAATTGCATTTTTACAGTAAAAATACGGAAAACAAAAACACTCATTTCATTTCATCAATATTTCATTTATAAGTATATTATAAATATAGTTGCACAAACAGAGTTCGTGATTTTTAAACAAGTGAAACACAAACACAAATAATATAGAAATGGCTTCTTCTCAGCGAATAAAAAACATTAATTGTTGTTCCATTATAGAGATAACTAGTCTGAACATCATTTATAACTAGTATTTAAAAATTTGGGAAAAAAGGTTTAAAAATTCACAATTAATAGCAGAAAAAATTTTTATTTAAAAAAAACCTGAAAAATTTTCCCTTTCATGGGGGGGGTATATTTAAATTTTGCCCTTTAATTTAAATGGAAGGAAAAATCAAAACCTTAAGAAAAACCATATATTTTCTCGGATATCAAATCACAAAATTTTCCAATTTTTCAATTGCTTTTCCCTAAATTTTTAAAGTGGTAACAACGGGACGAAATATTAATATCACTTTTGCCAGTTTTTTTTAAGGCCACCCAAAGCTAACTAATAAAATACTAAAATGGTCAAAACCGTGTGAAACCCGTTTTTACTTTGAATGGGTTTTGTTCAAAACCGGGCTGTAAAAAAACCGGGCAGGGGAATTTGATTTTTTTTTTTTTTAAAACAAAAAATATGCTCCAGTGCATCGTGCTATATGCACCATGAATGTCATGCAACAAAATAGCATCGTTTGCTTGGATTGAACTTTTCTCTCCCGAGCAATGGAGCCAACTTTACATGTCTGAGATGTCTTTCCATTATACCTCAACTTTGTCTTAGAATGACAAAAAAGAAATTGCTTTACTGTAATCAAGCTGTCTATGAAGTGGTGGTAAAGCTAGTCTTACTGCTACTGGGGCATACACACGATATTGACTTTTGAGAATGTTTTCACCTTGTGCCTTTCACCAATTGTGCCTTTGTAAGTGTCGTAGAATACATAAATTGGCACAATCTTATTTTTCTCGGCCCTTTCCCAATCTCACATGCAGTGGTCTACCCTTGCTGGACGTAGCGTTACCGGTGCGCGGAGCTTAGCCCTTTCCGTCATACATAGGATTATTACAAGTATTAGTATTTCCAAAAATGCTTGACATCGCCGTTCAGCCATGAATTTAGAAATAATATTTGTCAAATACCATTATTGTGTGTGGTCAACACATAAAGCCAACAAAAATACTTGATTTACTTAACCAATCCGTTCTGTATTCTGAGCGGCCAGAATGTAGGAGATATTGCCCATAAGAAAAATATCACAATAACTAAACGCGAAGTACAATTAGCTACTTAATCAGTGTATCAATCGGCAAAAATAATAAGCTTCTTGCGTAATTTACAACAGTTACTTGCTACACATTAAAAATGATGTCTTGAAAACATTCTAAAAATGGAATATATGTTCTATACTCCGTCGACAGCTTTGCGATTTTTTTTCTGAAATGAACTATAACTGACCTGCTATATTATAGGGTATGATGTAATAAAAAGACACTCATAGTATTAAAGCATTTATTAAGATTTTTTAGTGCCCGTTTTGGAAAGAAAACAAAATTTTCTCTTATTTAGACTACAGTCTCTTATCAGAAATGACATGAATGAAAATATAATGCAATTTGCTGTGTTTATCCTGCAAGAGACTAAAGACTGGTTCTGAGTTCGTACATTTATAATTGTATTTTTCAGTTGAACTAAGTAAGGCGAGTCCATTTAAGCATCCCTCATTGAAGTTTTTGGACGTCCATTTTGTTATCATGTGATATTGAATTATTCGCTTTGATTGGCTAAAAGGCAGGCGGTGTCCAGGTAGCACTGTTCAAATCTTGTTTATTGTATATACCGCCGTCCAGGAACGGCGATAATGAATAATCGCCGAAGTTTAACAATTGAAATTGTTTCATCAACTAAACTGAATTTCCTACAGATTTTATTTAGGATTGCTTATTGTGAATTTAAAGTTGTTAGTATATCTTGAAGATAACGGTTTCTTCGATTTTCTCAAAGGATGTGTGGAATGCATTCACGAAGGCGCGAGTACTGCGTGGCTTCACAACTTATCGTGGACACAATGAAGTGACATATTCAACAGAAAAGACTGAAGTTTTTCCTGACAATGATCTGAGATATGTCTCAATAAATTACTTTCTTTTTAAGTGTAAAAATCAGAAACCGAAGAATTTAAGTGATATGTTATATTTTAATGTCTTTGCTTTAAAAACATATCCACTTTTCAGTCTTAAGTATATATACACACAAATAAAATATTATTTAGACGTCGGTTGGGTGACACAACCACAAGTATGAAAATTGGTAACAGACGAGAAAAAGATGCTGGTAAAATAGTTTTACATGTGAATGCACAGATGACGTTATACAAACTAAAACAATTGCTTCCATTATTTGTCACCGAGATTTAAATGACATTTTTAGATAAAATAATTAATGCGCTGCATGTTCTGCATTTTATTTGGAACTATCCATTTCCATTTCTAGGTTAATGGATTCCGATTTCTAAACAGCTAACAGCTTTAATTACGCTGTGGCCGTAAAGGGTTATATGATTTAGCATACAAGTGCTGCATCATTTTGTCACAACTTGAACATATTGTTTATTTTTATTTTTTTTGTTTGATGACATATGGAAGTTTGAAATTTAAAACATATTTAAAGGGAAAACCTTAAGATTCAATTGAATCTCAGGTGATTGGATGAAAAGTTATTTTGTATAAGTATTAATCTATTTTAGAAACTAATAGTAAATTGTTTGCTGAATAAATGAAGTACGTGTACTTTGTAAGTCTACGTGTAGACAACGCGCCATTTGGTGTTCTTCACTAGAGACATGACGATAAGACGACAGTGCGACAAGGCGCCGTTTGGCGCGTTTCTCTAGCGAAAAAACGAAAAGGCGAAACATATCGTTTTTGTCGCTATCGAAAAGCAATGCGCAAATTTCCCAAATCAGCCCCCCATAATGAAAAGTCCGTTGGGATTTTTCGCATTGCTTGAAATAATAAATGATACTTTACATCTATCGATACGCGAAAAAGTGGACGTTTTAAATTAATTACAAACAAAAGTACACGTTAATTAAAACTCAAATTGGGCCCTTTTAAAAATTTTTAAAGTTTTTGGGCATATTTTTTTCGTATTAAAAAAGGGGGGGGGGGTGTATATTAATTTTTTCCTAAAGTAACTTTTATTGTTACGTTATGGGATTTTTTTTTATTAAAACACTTCAAAGAGCAATTAAAAAGGTCGTGTTTATTTCATTTTCTTAAAATAAAACATTTTTTTTTTTAAAATTTGTAAAATTTTTATGTTCCCATAATAATCCCCCTAAAATTTTGTTTCAGTTATTTTATTAAAATTGTTTTGGGTTTAAACTTTTTGAAAAATGTTATAAATTTTGTGTTTTTTGGAAATTTAATCTTTTTTTTTTTTTTAATTTCTTTATAATTTTTGTGAGATAGACTTAAAATTTCATTTTTTCTTTTTGGGAAAAAATTTTGTGTTTTTGGAACTTTTAAAATTTTATCTGATAAAAAAATAAAATGATTGGATTAATATATAAAATTTTTTATTTTATATGTGTTATGTATGGATGAATTTTAATTAAAATTTTTAATTATTAAATTTATTTTATTTAACAAAGTAAAGCTTCTTTTTTTTTAACAAAATGGGCATTTAAATAAAGGAAAAACTTTAAATTTTTAATTAAATAATTTTTTCCCCTTTTTTATTTTAATTACAAAAACATTGCGGGGCTTTTCACAAAAGGATATAGATTTGGTTGTCATGCCTCGTGATACAACTACCTTTAATCGCCATTTATTTGTTTGTTTTCACTTTTTGAGCTATCACTAAATCATACTAATATTCAGAATTGCCGTTTCCGTAACCGTCACAATATAATTTCTTCGATGGAGAAATTAAACTTGCAAAATTGGCAAATTGCTTTATCATCAAAGTAAATAACCAAGCAAATATCTTGTCAGTGAATAAATGCAATAAAGTTTCAGGGATTTTATGTAATATATAAGTACTTATAAAGTACCGAAATTAGATACTAAGTATAATGAAATAAAATTTGTAATGAAGAGAATGCGTCAAATTTTGAAAATAAATTCTTTACTTGAACAATATCGTTACTTGTTTCCCCTATTTTTTCACAGTACGACTAAGATTAAGTGACAGTACATAGACAATACTTTTAAAGGGCTATCACCGTGTCGTTAAGAATTTATATAAATGTGTTTTTAAAAGCACATATCATCAGTACAAACGTCCTCTTGAAAAGATGTACAACAATGATAGTCTTCCTGAAATTCCTCAACATCTTCATCACTTATACTATCACACGTATCCTCTTTGAACGCATTCGGTACAAAGTCGTAGACATATGAAAACCAAACTTGTGATATATATTATGTAGTCAATACAAAAAATGGTAAAACAATGTTCACGGCGATATTTTCTATCGACAAAAGTTTTATCTTATAATACTAAACACTTGAATTATAATAAATGTATGTAAGTTTATAATCTTGGAATATTGTCGGATATAATAAAAGTTACCTGGATTTTATATCAGTGTTTGTTTTTCCTGCCACCTTGTCAGAATACGTGCCTATATCATTTGTAATAAACATATGACATACAACTAGCAAAATGAAATATCTTCTCTTTTATTTTTCATAGAATAACACAAAACAAGCTTAGTTATATGCATAAACATATGTGATCACATCAGTCCAGAAATATGCATGCAACCTCATTTAAAAGCTTTGTAAAAGTTGTACATCAAAGAAAACATTTCATCTATAGTTATTTTATGACTTTTGTTGAAAAAGAATAACCACAATTGACTTCTGTCTAAACTATTCTATTTCCACTAAACAACAAGCAGCAACAGCAACAGCAACCACAACAACAAGAACAACAACAATTATTTTTCTTGGTTTAACAGAAAGTAACATTTCTCACAATTTATTTCAGAAATAGTTTTATGTTTGAAGCTTTATTCCTCGTTAAGTTTTCGCAAATTACCTTGCTAAGCTATTGTCAATAACGTTTTATTAAACTGTATTAACTAGAATAAGATATATTAAATACTTCCAGGTATTTCTTGAGTTTAAGCAGATTTTACATTATAAATACGACATCTGCGAGCAATTAAAGCATTCAATTTGTTATTTATGTGTATATGTCTTGGGGCTGGAGTTCAATTGCAATTGCCACATTTCATAACTACAATTTTGTTACTTCAGAGTATGCGTTTTCACAGACTTCCACATAATTAGCAGGAAACATCCCACGTGCTCCATTTGCTGTTGTCCCTATCCACCAACCATCATCTATTGGTTCTATATTTGTTATGATATCGCCAGGATCAAAAGATATTTCGTCATCGTCTCCTGTATATATTTCAATTCTTGATATGAAATACTCAATATAGATTTTACACGAACACAAAGTTTTAAAATATTTTACATTATCAAATTTAAATACAAAGTTGGTTTAATTGTTAACTGCATATTGTATTTCTCTTTTACTATAAATTGCTATTAACTTTAAACTGTGTTACTTTTATAATACTTAACATCAATCTAGTTTTTGTCCTGACTTAAATATATGACCAATTTCTAACCAGTAACCTAGCAACGTTCAGAGTTGTGGATAAAAATATTCGATAAACAAAACATCTCTTCATAAAATTGTCAAATGTCTTTCAGAAAAGATTAGTCAAAAAATTAGTATAACAAACTCGTTGAAATTCATACCTGCTGTGTAATCGTACAAGGCAGTAACATCAAATCCTGGAGTTATATCAACACTTTTATTGCTTGTACTTTGAACCTCATGTACATCTGAAGTAAAATGAACAACGTGAGAGATTCACTTGCAAATTTTAAGAGGAAGGAAAAATGTAGAAATTATACATTTATATCATAAACAAATAGTTATCAAAACTCAAGAAGAACAAACTGTTTTTGGAGCCTTAGATATGATAAGAAAAGTATGAAGTGGAAATAATGTGGATCGAATTATTTTTACTCTTTCGTATCAATAGATTTCTTATGCCAGAGCACACTTCTCTTTAGTAAGCTACATTATCTTATATTGATTTTGTTTGCATCCTCGCAAAATACTTTTCACAAAAAAATCTTTGAGTAAGGAAAGCAAGCTTTCTATTGCGGACAAGTCGATTAGCTTTCCAGGACCGGTTCGGTGGATCAGCCGCAATGATATGACTTCAATTATGTGTTAAAATTCCCCCAAAAAACGAAAAAAAAAAACCCAACAAAACATAGAAAACACTTATATATACCCAAAAAAAAACAAACCTCGAAAATGTGTGACAATTAAACACAATATTCAAAAAGAAATTAGGCAATCGCTTTATATTATTTTCGAAGCGTATTGTAACATCTTACCTGTCTTTTTAACGAGTTTTACACTATCATGAATGTGTTCCTCTGAATCTGCCGATTTTTCCGTCAACTCCTCTTGATCTTTCTTTATTGTTCCACTCATATACATGTACTTCAACCCGACGTCTAGATTAAATATGTGTGCCAAACCAAATGATTAGAATAGACTGGCATAGATAGTGTTCTGTTAATTTAGATTTTTAGATTTAACGTTTTATAAAAACGTTAAGAGCAGAAGTGACAGAAAATATCATTTCATTTGCAATGACAATATTTATAGATGAAAGCCAGAAATATAACCAAAAAACTGAGTTTCTTTCGCTATAGATTACATTTTCCAAGAGCAATGTTTTATCAAGGATATACTCAAATATTGCAACCAAATGAGACAAAGAGAAAACAATTGCAAAACATCACTTAACAGCAAATGCGTGTACGAGGTAAAATAGGAAGGAAAGACAACATTTTACATTTAATATTCAACTCATTTATAAATGCGGTTTAAAACCTTAAATTCACATATTGAAATACTACATTGTTAAATTGGAAAAAAACTAACAAAAGCGTTACCTTTTAGAAGAGACTCAGATTCAACAGCGTCTTTAAAGTCATACAGAAGGTCTCCAAGAAATTCAAATGTAAGTCTACGTTCTGGAATCTGATGCCAACATTGAAGTATAGTGTTATACAATTCGACAGGGCATTGCATTGATCTTCTTTTTGGTATTGGCAGTCTAAGTCCATTGGATAAACTACGTTCAACCTGTTCCTTTTCAAAACCTGCAGGATTGTTACAAATGACGTTGATTTTATGATTTTATGTAACTACTATTATATTGTGACATTACTTAATTAAACAAAGCTATGTTTTGTTTTGAGGGAAATCTACTATGGAATAAAAATAGATTTGGAAAACAGGCAAGCTGAATAGTTTTTTCTTTACATTACGCAATTTTAAAAATATGAGTTGTCCCTGTAGTAATTGCATTCATGATTTCGACATCCCTCTTGTGCATTTATGAGTTTTCAGATATACACTCATTAGTTTATTGGCCAGTATATATGCATTTATAAAAATTAAGCAAGGGAAGTGGTGCTCTTTTGAATATATTATGTACAAAGTGTAAATATAAAGATACATTTTTGTACTTTTATTTTCCTTATAGAATGTAATTTTTAGGTTTTTCATTAATGTTTTCGTACTAAATTAATAATCTGAAATATAAAGTATTCAATTTCAACATAAATATTTGGGGTCATTTTTGAAAGTCATTGTCTTTGACCGATCGAGTCATGCACACGTTGATATGCAATTGCCAAGTACAGATTTTTGCTTTACTGTGAAATTGGAAAATTCCAGCATTGTGCGTTTTGTCTGACTGTTCTTTTGACTTTGTATTTATTAAAAGCTCTGACATTACCTGAATACGGAATTTCCCCAAAAGTGATCATTTCATACATCAAAACACCAAAAGACCATACGTCGGATTTTGTACTTAACGCAGTTTCGTTTGCTGTAACTTCTGGTGCCGTCCATTGCCATTCCATTTCATCTGAAAAATATATATTTAAACTGAAATATAGAAAATCAGCTTTATCACAAGTCACGCTTATCACAAAGCTAAAAATAACTTCAAGATAAACACCATTTACTTTTAATAAAAGCCCTGCTAAATGAATAAAATAAATCATAATTATTTTGCAATATTTTGCCACCTTGAAAAATTATAACAGTTAACTGCATAAAAAATTATAAATGATATAAGTTATTATGATTGTCTCTCTATTTACGTCAAATTAAAACTCAAATTTTGGAACTAGAAAATTAGTGATGTGATAATTATGTAGCCTTACCGAAACGCTTCTAACAGATGCAGTTGTACAAATCAAATAATTATTGTTGCCATTCAAGGATGTTTCCTTCAGTTTTCATCATGTATAGACAGAAAAACTACTGTTTCATTTCATTTCATAGGATTAATTAAATATTCAAGCTAAGCATTATCTTGGAATATCAAATTGTAACATTTCTATTGAAAAAATAAGAGGTCAAATTACAAACTTTTGATACTGGAAAAATTCATTATAGTTTAATGAGTAAACTTGGGCGTGAGAAATTAAACAAATTATGTAATATGTCTCATAATGCGTTTTGCAAAGCTCCAATGACAGTATTTAATAAACATCCCTCATAAATATTACGTCAGCCATGTGAATTTAAATTCCTACCTTGTCCATGTGTGTCGTTTTCACTGGTTTTCATAAGTTTTATCAGTTCTGGGTGCAATATCTTTAGTTTATCATGTTCACAAATTAAAACGTTTTCTGCTTTCAAATTGCCATGGACAATGCCTTTTTCTTCTAGAAATGCCATGCCATAAGCAATCTATTAAATATGTGAAAAGAACATTCCATGAACAGTTTATTTAAAAGATAATCAGTACGACTTGAATCATTTTAATGGCATAAAAGCTTTTTTCATTAGTGACATTTTAAAGAATAGTTAAAAGATTTGATATGAATAACATAAGTCATCGGGAAGTACTCTTACTTCATTCGAATGTTTGTTTGGTTAATTAAGTAACGTGTATAAACATGAAAATTGTGAAAGCAACAAAATTATAAATACTTCGAAGGGTTGTTTTTTGCCTCTGATCTAGAAATCTTATATGCTTTACCTCTGAAGACATACTGGTCATTTTTTTTAGAGATAAGGTTTTTCCAGCAATTTTTCTCAGGTTACTCTGTAGTGTGTCTTTGACGTTTTCCCCGAGTACAATCATAAATGGTTTCGGTTCAAGAACGACAGCTATCATTTTAACGAAGTGTTCACATTGTCGAAACTTAAACAGTAAGTTGGCTCCTTCTAAAAAAGGACCCAGTTCACTTTTGCATTTTGTCACGATGGTAACATCGAATGCATTGAACAATTTGCCTGTAATGAGGTAAAATAGAAATAATTAGAACGAATTAAAAAAAAGGCAATATAAATCTGCAGCTGTATATATTATATTCTTATTTATTTTTGCAAATATCTTGAAATCAGTCTCTTAAAATATATCTTTACTTCACATTGCACTAAACACAGAAAAAATAATTATACCTCTGACAAGCTCTCCAAAGTTGCCGACAGGAAATGAATTTACAAGTTCAATTGCATTTCTATCAATTTCTATTCTTCCTTGGATAAACAACAGGATTTTGCTTTGGAATTGTATACATTAGTTTGCACAGCAAACCATCAGCAAATTCTGTCACAAAATAAAGATCAGTAAGTACTTCAGTACAAAAAGTCTTAAAATGGCAACACGTGTTAGATTACTAAAATACGTCATATAGTAACATTGAAAGATATGTTTTATCGCGTTTTCTTCTTTTGCCATATAGTAACCGTATTTATTACAAACCATCTGTACATACAAATTGTCGCTTACATGCATCCATATGCATCAAATTTGGAAAACATGTTTATACCATGTATATCAACTTTGTTTAATTATGTTAAAAATTAGAATTGCATACATTATTTAAAAGCAAACCTACTAATATCAACACATAAATACCAATTTTATGTCGAAACATCTTACGTTTATAGTGTTCCACATGCGAAAAGATGTCGCTGAATTTTTGTTTAGGGCTGATGAACAGTCGATCATTTTGAGACTTGATACGATAGTGTTTAACAACTCCTTGATTTGAACAAATACTTGGTACCCTCATTGTTAGGACAAAAATCCGTCCCCCTTAAAATTAACAGAAACGGAGTGTTAAGTCATTTGGATATATAACATATGAGCAGTATCAATGCAAACAAACTGTTTTGTTTCACGTTTTTTATATTGACACGTTCTATGATGTCCTGTCTTGTTAATTGTCGTCAGCGGTATTTCCTTTCCATCCCCTGGAATGTCCCTTCCCTCCTTTCCATTCTCTTGTGCCCTCTCCCGTTTATTTTTCGGAAACTACTGACTATAGTGTCGCCGGGGTTGTCTGAGGCTGCTTTCTGTGAACAAATCCTTGAAGTCTTTATTTCTCATTTTTTGCAGTTCTTTTTCGCTTCCTTTTTTTACGCAAAAGGTTATAAATATATTGTTTTCGAAATTTACTATCTCGGTTTGACAAATGATTTTGGTATCCTCATCAAACTTACACGGACGTAATTCTCTTATTATTCTCATCAGGCACGTATTTGTCAGCTTTGTTTAGTGAGGGTTAGGTCTGAAAAAATATGGTGATCGAGGGGATGGGGGGGGGGGGGGCTATGATATATTGAAAATAAGAATCCCTAAAGAAAGCCCAACACGGCAAAATTGAAAAGTTGCAGGCTTGGTTTGATTGAACCTATTCATGGACGGTACTGTAAAATGCAATCTACTGCCCACACCCCCTAGCACCGGCTTTTGCAGAATTAAACATTTACATGAACTGGTACATTTTTGAATATTGAACATCCGCAGATGTGTTCATATGGCGGTTATTATGGAACCTTCAATGTGACACGTATGTGCCATTCCATGAAAAGCGGCATATGGTCCCCAAGTAAAAAAATGCGTGTGCCCTAGACGAGAAAAAAATGGGCGGAACTAAATAAAATAGAATTTTGAAAGGGGATCAGAAGTTATGAAGCCTGCATTTCACAGATACGACGTCAGAAGAAATATCTAAAAAGCAGGCCACATATCCTCAGGGTGATTCAATAGTATTTCAAGTTAGGAATACTGGAACCACCCAAACAAGAAAATAACCGAATAGAAAGAACTTAATTACCACACGCACAACAATATTGTCGTGCTGAACGATCTTTAAGGATCGGAAATATAACATCTCTGACTGAATGTACCGGGCGACTTTTTACAGCCTCCACACCACATTCACTTATGCATTGCATCGCGACATCATTTGTGTGGACTGAGGTATCGTTATAATTATGTCAAATCCCACAACGGAAAAGACATGAGCGGAAAATAATTATTTTTAATGTCTTTATAGTGGCCGCCCTATTCTTCCTAAACCATGTAACTTTGAACTTTTCCATTCGCTCACTGTTGTGTGAACTTGACTCACTTCGGCTGCAATCATTCTTTGGACCCTTATTTAATTTGGCAGACCCGAGGTATAAATCCATATGAAATTGTCTGTCAAGGATTAAAAAGCTATTGCTATTACCGATATGTACCCAGCCCTTTCACTTTGCCAAAACACTTGGGTATATTATATAGGTTATTTCTGAATGTGAGTAGACAATAACAGCATAAAATAATAATCCTGCAAGTAGCAAACCTGAATCTGGTTCAAAACATTTAACAATTTGAATGAAGGAAAAAAAAGTGATTTACTCTCATATTTTAGCACCATAAACCTGTAATGACGAAAAATTTAAAGTTACGCACTGTCAGATGGACGTATAAGGAATGTTCCCACACGAGTGTCCGGATTGCTCATCAATTCCTGAGATGCGTGTGAGCTAATATCATACCACCAGCTGAAATATTGCAAAGCTTCAATAAGTTAAAGTGTGTGATATATAAATTATAATATTTCTACTGATCAATGGGCTAAATCAGACAAAATAAATAAGATTTTGATTTTGAAAATATTAAACGGGTGCAGACAATTGAATATCAAGATAAAACTACAATGTAAATTTCAGCAATATGTTTGAACTTAAGACCTTGTTTTAAATAGTTACGGGTGCAGACAATTGAATATAAAAATAAAAAGATTCTCATACTCCTGTGATATTAGTTTTAGGCTGGCATGACAGATATATGCAATTGGAACGAAGCCTTTCTCTCCCGTAGACAAATGTTCAGCATAACACCAATCAGAGTTATCACTGAAATGAAATAATACAGAAGAGTAGGTTTCATTAAAATACAATGTCTCTACGAAAATGCAGATACAAGTGACACATCTGAAAAATTAGATTATTCCGTTGAAATCAAAATTGGGGATATCAAATTTATTGAAGTGTTCCAAATCGTTAAGAAATTAATTGCCAAGGAATCAAGAGTAATTATGAAGTTTCGTAACACAGCTTAAACCCATAAATAAATGAGGATATTTGTTTGTTTGTGTGTAAGATGAAATTTTATTTCATCGAGTTGGCTTTAAAAACAGTATTCTCACGAGTGGCATAGCCACATAGTGAAAGTATCAAATATAATTTTCACAGATAACTTAGTATTCCACTAAAAAGCATAAAATAAGATTTGGCTAGTATTCACTTGTCAGATAAACTCATATTATAACATTTGTCTTTTACCTTGTGATATCGTCACGGATTTTAAGTTTGTCTAGCTTTTTGAAGCTTATCTCATCGTCAGAAAACTTTTGAAAATCATATATTGCTGCTACTATCTTCGCTCCAGAAACGGCTGAAGTAAACATTCGTGTCATATAAACTACTTTTATTTTCGACAAATAGACATATAAGTAAACGCGACACACAAATTATTAACAGTTTTCAATATAGAAATATTTTTATTATGTACAAATTTCAAGTAATTACTTATAAACAAGGCGGGGGTTTTCAAGAGGGGACATAGTTGATTTCTATTTGGTTGTCATGCCCCCTGTTAGAAATACCTTTAATTGCCATTAATTTGTTTGTTTGCACTTTTTGAGCTAACACAAGATCAAATAAATGTTCGTAATTGGTGTCTCCGTAACCATATCAACAACATATCTTCCTCGATGAAGATGTTAAAATAACTTGCAAAATTTTCAAAACTGTGCTCCTTAAAAATAAACAACAATGAATCTGGCTTTTGAACTTATCGATTTATGGTATAATTGAGATTTGTTCCGTTTTTATTGGTTTTCATATTTTTTGCAACAATATCAGCACTGAGTAGTGAAAAATAACCAGCAAGTTGTATTTCATTTTCTACAAAAACAAAACCGTGAATGAAAAAGTTTTAACAGCGCTACTATTTCCTAGAAAAAATGCAAATAAAGTAGTGCACTTTCGAAAACCTTTAAGTTTTCGAACTTTATAGAGTGGTAAAAGATTGGTTATAATTGTTATGTACACAGAAATAACTTAATAAATTTAATAAGTTTTCAGCAATTTACACCATTTAAAGTTTCTTTGAAAGCAAGACAGCAATTATTTTCTAAGTGAACCAATGCAGTAATCCAATAAAGTTTCAGGGATTTTATGTAATATATAAGTACTTATAAATTACTGAAATGATCGAGACAGTATGAAATTTGTAATGAAGATATCGAAAATTTTGAAAATAAATTCTTGGCTGGAACGACATCGTTACTTGTTTCCCCTAATTTTTGTAAGGCTAAGTTTAAGCGTAAGTACATATTCAAGGCTTTTTAATAACTTAATCTTAATACATTAAATATCACTGTGTTGTCTCAAAATTTATATATTTATGTTTTTAAAAGCACATACCATCGGTACAGACGTCCTCTTGAAAAGATGTGTAACAATCATAGTCTTCTTGAACGTCCTCAACATCTTCATCACTTATACTATCGCACGACTCCTCTTTGAACGCATTCGGTACAAAATCGTAGACAGGTTCCCCAACCTATGAAAACCAATTTTGGTATAAATGTAGTAAATTCGTATTTAAAACATGGTTCACGGTGTTTTCTTCTATCGACAGAAGATTTTATGCTCCCAGAAGGATGAGCCTATAGTCGCCGCTTTGTCCGTCCGTCCGTTATTCTTGTCCGGGACATAACTTTGAAACAGCAAAGGTATCAACATGAAACTTTGTAGGAAGATAAATCTTATTGAGTAGAAGTGCAGTGCAAAAGAACCATAATTATGTCTTGCCTTTCCTTGGAGTTATTGCTCTTTTTCATTTTACACTTTGAGCTTTGTCCGGGACATATCTCTATTATAATAACTGTTAAAGATATCAACATGAAACTTTGTAGGTAGATAGATCTCATTTGGTAAATGTGCAGTGCAAAAGAACCATAACTCTGTCTTGCCTTATCTTGGAGTTATTGTACTTTGTTCATCTTTACACTTGGAACTTTGTGCGGGACATAACTCTGAAACCATAATAGGTTTCAACATGAAACTTTGTATATGTACGTAGATTGATCTCATTAAATAGAAGTGAAGTGCAAAAAGCCTTAACTCTGTCTTGCTAAATTTTGTAGTTATTGCCTTTTGCTCATTTTAACACTTAAACTTTTGTCTGTCACTACAAAAGGTATACTTTCCTGTGTCCAAAACCTGTTCGGGGAGCATCATTCGGTTCAACCGGTTCTTGTTTTTTTATCATGCAAGTTAAGTTTAATATTAAACACTTGAATTATAAATGTATGTAAGTTTGAAATCTTGGATAAATTGTCGAATATTATAATATGTTTAATGAATTATTATCAGTTTCTGTTTTTGGCTGCAGCTTTGTCAGAATACACGCGTTACAAACTGAGTAAACAGATGACATACAACTAGTGTATTTTGTCAAAAGTTGAATTATGGAAAAATACACATGAACTAAAACGATAAGTTAAATGTTATAGAAAATACCTCTCTTTTGGCAGTTTTCTTTTTGATGATCTGTTTCATGCGTTTGAAAAAGGCCCGGATCTTTCCTGTCAAAGAGGATTAAAAGTATCATCAAATTTTGCTCCACAAAATTTATCATCATCACTTTGACTACTGATAGCTTAAAAAATGATATAGGGGCGGGGATAAAAGAAACAGGCAAGACAGGTTATAATATAATGATTTAAAAAAGAAGAAGATAATAAGAATTAGTTGTCAAACAATATTTGCACTAAATACACGATATCTGGACATTACTTTACCTAATTTTTACTATTTGAAATATTACAAACAGTATACAATGTAACTGTAAACAGTATAGTATGTACGAATAAACGGCAGCAGAAAATACAATTTAACACTTACAGGGCATATTACGAAAATCAATAAAGTGAAACAACATCTCGTTTAAACAAGGATTCCTTACTGATATGACAATAAACATTACGAAGGGAGATTAAAGTTCAAGGAACGAGGCCTTAAAAATCTAAATGCAACGACATTCTGACAGATATCACACGGATAGGAGCAGAGCTTACGTTAAATTATAAGTTCATAAATTTGCAGGATGAAGGGAATGTACAAAAATTAGAAAGGCGTGAAGGAGCAAAATTTGAAGGGGTGGAAAGGTTAGCGACAATTTGTAAAACGACATAATAAATCCTTTTAAGTAAGTGTGTTTCATTTGAAGTCATTTTGTTTCATATTTACTTACCCTCCCTTTCAACATATTCTTCACTCCCGATGTCATAATTCACCATTTCTTCATTATCTGAACTATTATCTTCTCCTTCTTTCTTAACAAGACGATCTAGATCCATAAAAACACAATGAATAAGCAAGCAACTCCATTAAAGAATACTAAAAGGCAATACATCGTGTTTAGGATACATTCTTATTATATATTTCATGATCATGATTATCAGCGTTCGAAATTGTATGCTCATAATACAATATATAAAGTTTGTACTAGTTTGGCATTGTGTCAATTTAATTATGTCATTTGCAAATACGAACTTATGTTTAACTGATATATCAAAATTTTATGGTCTGCATTCATTAGTTTCATATTGCAGTTGTGAAGCAATGAACGACGTATTTCATACAAAATCAAATCTGTGTTGTTTCAAACTAAGTATTTTATTATTTTATCTTGGAAAAGTGCTGCCTTCTTCAAAACAATGTCTCGAAAGCTATTAATAGCGCGTCAGTGACGTTCGTTTCTGAAAATAAAAGATCGGGAAACGAATCGTTCGCTATTCTAATTGATATTATGTATAGAGAGCGGGCAGGTAAATATGTACTGCACATATTTTTCCACATTTAATGTAATCATTAAAATATATGCATGCATTTTTATTGAATATTTGACTTAAACTTATGGAAAATAAATTTCTTATTACCTCCCTTTATTTACATGAGATGTTTAATTCGGTAATATCTTTATAATCAATGCTTTTTGGAACTTAGAATATTGATAAATCTTAATTTGAGCATCATATTTATGATATAAAACCATAAAAAAGTGTGTAACAGGATCTTTAATTATACAAAATCATAATACTTGTCAAACAAAAAATTAAAGAAGACCTACAGCAGGGATCATCCTTCTTATATGATGCTCATCTTTGCGTAAAATATTTTTCTATGAAATTTTACCGAATATGTCTTATTTGAATATAAGAATGAATAAATTATGTATTGGAAGCAATGTTCCATACAATAAGTCAAATAAAGTTGGTCTTTTTAAAAAAAAAGCTACACAGTTTTTTAATGGCACACTCTATTGTTATTGTGACCACCTGTAGTGAGTAAAATTTTAAACATAACTTATCTACTTAGTGTGAAGTCAAAGCCTGTTAATTTTATATTTACAAAGAAACTGTGTAGCAATTATCAATATTTTCTTATGACAAATTTGAGCACAGGTTATCTTTAAAGCAATATCCTGATCTAAATCACCTTCTAACGGCGTTCCTAGTATCTCCTCTTGATCTTTTAAATATTTCCCTCTTGAATCAGGCTTTATATTTATTTTTGTTTGAAAAACCGTATCATCTTGTTTGAACTCTGATGTTTTGTCTTTCTGATCAATGCTTTTTACTTCAGTAATAATGACTTCCCCATCACTTTCTTCAGAAACCTGATACATTAAGTCATCAGCAAAAATAATGTTCTCCTCCATGAATACATCACTTGCTTTATTTAACATATTAAGCCACTTAAGTTTTCCTCCGATATCTAGAAACCAGAATTTATTTACTCTCTTCAGTCTCAATTTTACATTTTTACTTATGTCTGTCTCCATTCTGTGCGCGATTACTTCTGAAAACATGTAAATGTTGAAAATATAAATTAAAGTTTATAAGGGTTGATCAACACTTATAGTTGTAAGTACTTTTTATATTTTGCAGGTAATCAATTGATTCATTATAAACTTCGGAACTTGTTAGTACTAAAATATTGTAATAAAAATAAGACTCACTTTAAATTGAAAATGGGACCTTATACTCGTACTCCTTTAATGTTCTTTGCAAATATGTAATTATGTGTTTCTACTTAATAAACAAAGCAAAGTATGTCAACGGTATAAAAGTAAACTTTAAAATGTTCAACAATCAATTCACTTCCGTGTTCTAGTTTTCGCAAATAAGAAAAACATGTATTTAAAGCGCGAATGAGCATATTCTGTTGAGACAAGAAAATCATTGTGAATTGTTTGATAATTTACAGTTTGTGTTTTTCTTCATCAAAACAAATAAGAAATATGAAGCTAATAACTAAACGCAAGGCAAGAAACTAAAACCCTGAAATATGCTTGTCAAATGCGAGTTAAAGTGAGATTTTCAATCATTTAATAACTAAATGTCATCTAACTTACATACCACGACACGGTAAATCAGTCAAGTATAAATTATGTTTGAATATTATACAAAATTAAACCTACCTACCTTTATTTGCTCATTCGTTGGGGTAACACGATTTATCACTAAACGCAAACAAACATCACATGTGCAGATTGATACTATTTCTTGGCTTTAAGTAATAATTTCTTGTTTTAAACGTTTAGATAAAATAATTCTACCCTAACAACTCAGAACAGTTAATTAAAAGAAATAAACTTAGCTTCCAAAATTTAACTAATTCGTTTTATAAGCTTCCACTAACTAACTTCAGGTTAAGTAATTACATTTTGATAACTACAGCCTTCGGCGCGCTAGGACCAGTTATGTGTCAATGTACCATACTATCTAAATAAACTTTAAACTTTCAACTCTAAATGTCATCATTTTTTTAATCCTTTCATTCACAACTATGAATCTTTATATTACTAGTTACTTTAGATAACACATTTAAAGTTAAGATAAACTGCCTGCTTAAAACCATGGTTTTAACCATTCAAATACACATGCTTGAGTTCAAGTGCCATATAAAGATAAAAAAAACGGAGTACATCCAACAAATGATATAACAATGAATAAACAGTGTATTTTCAACTTCGATTTCAAACTTGTTATTTGACAGAATATGTTATCTTTTAACTATATAAAGAATTTGAATATAGAATTAGTGATGCACGAAAATACCATAGAACGTACTTCAATATGCATACACCTATGTTCTCACAACAGCTCCGCATCACGAAGCCTATCAAATTTTATAGTTTTGAAAAAATATGTGCATGTATGACAATTCAAACATAAATGGCTTAAACAATCATGGATAATCCAAGTTGTATTTGTTAAAGTATTATTGAATTCAATTCATTTCAATTCAATATTTTATTTGGCATTAAACTACATATAGCATATAGCCATTATTACATAATAAAGGTAAAGTGTAAGACATTTTACAATAATTCAAAACTGACTAATATAACGTAAAAGTTACGGTTGAATAAATGTTGTAAAATGTAAAAGTAATTTTTATATTTTTTATTTATTATTTATTTATTAATGCAAAATCAAAGGAACAAAAATGGAATCCTCGACATTTATCAAATGGAAAAATGAGCATAAACAATTTGACATTATTATATGTAGATCTATCTTGATATTTTACAAAATGTTCCTACCTATTAAAAAGTATCAAGGTATTCTTTTTTTGAACTATATCTTTTTTTAAATTATAACAAAACCTCCAGTATATTTTATCTCTTCTAAAATTTCCATAAAAAGACATCAAACATACAATAAAAACAAATAAAAATCATGTGAGGGTAATGAAAAGTTGACTGGTCTTCAATGGGCACATTTTTTAAGTACCGGTATTTCAAATATCGAAAAAACAATAGAAATGTATCATTTCGATATTCTGAAAATATTACTTGAGAAAGACATGTTTATAAAGTTATAAATGATTTTGTATGACCAATAATATTGTTCTAGAACACTTTATTATCTACGATATAAATATAATATTATGAAAAAACGGATCATGTACCTCACACTTGCCAACGACATACATACATAAATTGTTCGTGGTTTGATGTTATTTTGATACTAAATACTATCAAAATAAATATTAATTGTTTAAATGTCTTCAAAAGACAAATTTACTGTGCATTATTCTACAACAATGCACTCAAAATTGATATCTATTTCCTAAACATTAATTTTATTCTAAGGAAACAAAATGAAAATCTTTATTTACATCGCAATTGAAACGTACGCGTGTTACTTCTGTTGTTGTGTCTGTAACCATTTTGTTTTGAACCCAGGCAAAAAGAAAATTCGTCCTCAGTCGATATACTTTACAAATTTTATATATGTATTTAATGTATCATGGTGATTAGAATGTCAAAAAGCTTTAGATATGTCCAAAGAATTATAAAGCGGAAAATGAAAGGAATTAATCTATTCTTTTGAGTTACTCAAGGCTTTAAATAGCGTATGTAATGCACTATAGGAAAAGGCCATATTATCTGTTAATTGCAGATAAAAGAGAAATACCAGCGGTACAAAAATCTTTTAATATACATTATTTATTTAACAAAAAAAAAATACAAGGTCAGCCCTCAATCAAAAAATGTGAAGCACAACATAAATGCAGTGTGTGCATGTTTGTGGTATTCTATTCTTTCTATTGGATCTTTTTCTAGTTTTCTAGTAGTGGTGCCAAAATTTCAATTCGAATACTGTATAATCACCCTAAAGATATGTTTCCTGCTTTTTGAAGTTTTGTCTGTGATATGAAGGCTTTATAACCTCTCATCCCCCTCCCTGTCAAAATTCCATTTTATTAAGTTCCGTTGGGACCATACGTCGCTTTTCATGAAATTACTTAAATGCTTTATGGTAACTGCCTTATACATTGTTTCTTTTAATTCAAATATTTCACCATTTTAATGTTTAAATTTTGAATTTTGCTTATTTATAAACCGGCGCTAGGGAGCATAGACGATATCTTGCAAGTACCACTAGCGTCCTTGGTCAGATTCAGTTAAACCGAGCCTGCAAATTTTCAAATTTGCCGTTTGGGCGTTTTAAAGGATTCCGTTTTTCTTATTTTATGATTTTGAAGCGTTGCATAATACATTATACGCTATAACAACGCTTTTAAGATTAAAATCAGTACCTTCTTTGAATCATCCGATTCATCTTTCAGCTCTTCTGTTCCATTTTTAATGTCCCACTCATGTACATGTTTTTAAGCTGTAATCTGATGAAATTAATATAAATGTAGATTCATATGTAAATGATTGAAATATGACAGAGGAAGAATGTTATTCAACCGTTATTAAGGACAAAGTTTAATACTTAAAGGAAGTCTTCTTTTAGATCTATCTGGATATTTTACAAAATGTTCCTACCTATTAAAAAGTATCAAATTATTCTTCATTTGAACTTTATCTTTTTTTTAATTATACCAATATCTCCAGTATATTTTATTTTATCATTTCGATATTCTGAAAATATTACTTGAGAAAGACATGTTTATAAAGTTATAAATGATTTTGTATGACCAATAATATTGTTCTAGAACACTTTATTATCTACGACATAAATATAATACTATGTAATAACGGATCATGTACCTCACACTTGCCAACAATATACATACATAAATCGTTCGTGGTTTGATGTTATTTTGATACTAAATACTATCAAAATAAATATTAATTGTTTAAATGTCTTCAAAAGACAAATTTACTGTGCATTATTCTACAACAATGCACTCAAAATTGATATACATTTCCTAAACATTAATTTTATTCTAAGGAAACCAAATCTTTATTTACATCACAATTGAAACGTACGCGTGTTACTTCTGTTGTTGTGTCTTTAACCATTATTTTTGAACCCAGGCAAAAAGAAAATTCGTCCTCAGTCGATATACATTACAAATTTTTATATATGTATTTAATGTATCATAGTGATTAGAATGTCCAAAAGCTTCAGATATGTCCAAAGAATTATAAAGCGGAAAATGGAATGAATTAATCTATTCTTTTGAGTAACACAAGGCTTTAAATAGCGTATATAATGAAATTTAGGAAAATGCCACCTTATCTGTTTATTGCAGGTAACAGAGAAATACCAGCGGTATAAAAAATTTAATATACATTTTATATTCAACAAAATAAATGCAGATTGTGCATGTTTGTGGTATTTTATTCTTTCTATTGGATCTTTTTCTAGTTGGGTGGTGCCAATATTCTAATTCGAATACTGTATAATCACCCTAAGGATATGTTTCCTGCTTTTTAAAGTTTTGTCGGTGATATGAAGGCTTTATAACCTCTCATCCCCCTCCCTGTCAAAATTCCAGTTTATTTAGTTTCGCCCATTTTTTCTCTTCTTTACATGCATTCTTATATTTGGGGACCATACGTCACTTTTCATGCAATGACTTAAATGCTTTATGGTAACTGCCGTATACATTGTTTCTTTTAATTCAAATATTTCACCATTTTAATGTTTAAATTTTGAATTTTGCTTATTGATAAACAGGCGCTAGGGAGCATAGACGATATCTTGCAAGTACCACTAGCGTCCTTGATCAGATTCAGTTAAACCGAGCCTGCAACATTTTCAAATTTGCCGTTTTGGGCGTTTTAAAGGATTCCGTTTTTCTTATTTTATATGATTTTGAAGCTTGACATATTACATTATACGCTATAACAACGCTTTTTAGATTAAAATCAGTACCTTCTTTGAATCATCCGATTCATCCTTCAGCTCTTCTGTTCCATTTTTAATGTTCCACTCATGTACATGTTTTTTAAGCTGCAATCTGATGAAATTAATATAAATGTAGATTCATATGTAAATGATTGAAATATGACAGAGGAAGAATGTTATTCAACCGTTATTAAGGACAAAGTTTAATACTTAAAGAGATGTCTTGATTAGATCACGGACTTTAATAAAAAGCTTCAGAACTATGTTGTTAATGGACCTTTAAACAAATAAGTAGGGAAGATACGCACAAGATGGAAAGTTCATCATCTGCAGTGACCTTGTCTTTGCATATATTGACCTAAATCTCATGTGGCACACTCGGTATCATGAATGATCGTGACCGTTTGCGCTAAAGATGATGACTTAATGGTCCCTTTACATATTTTCAATTTGACATTTTCCTCTGCATTTTATGCGCGTCACTCAACCTCACAATGATGATCATTTGTACCAATATATATGCATCCTGTAATACATGTAAACAGTTTTCTTCAGGCAAGCGTTTTTCAAAGAGAATTAAGTGTGACCTTGACCTCTGACTTAGAGATCGGGTTTATGTCCAGAGCACTACTCTCATGACGGTGAGCAATTCTATAAAGTAAAATTAGAATTCCTTCTTGCATGTAGGAGAT